GCAACCACTTGGCCGATTTGACCCAAAATGGTATGGGCTGATAGCTGCGGGCCGTGGCTACACAGCGCATTTTGTTGTACGCCGATTGGAGCTCTGGGGGCGGAGTTACAGTCGTATTTGTGGTAGAACCTAACCCTGCGATGCTGCTGAGCCCCCTTTTTCTAAGATATATCTCTTCAACCACTTGGCCGATTTGACCCAAAATGGTATGGGCTGATAGCTGCGGGCCGTGGCTACACAGCGCATTTTGTTGTACGCCGATTGGAGCCCTGTGGGCCAAGAAATGGTAGGTGTCGTATATAAGGAAGTACGACACCGGTGTCGTGTATAACACTACCGTTTCATCATATGTCCTCTTGAAAAAGCTGAAATCCAACAAATGCTTTGATCCATGCTACATCTCCGTGTTGGAAAAGCCCTTTCTTCTCCGTTCATGATAACATCTTACCCTATTTATTTATTTATTTTATTTGTTTATTTTTGCCTTCGGACAATTGCAGATGTACCTCAGAAACCTTTCACTTAATGTCTCATACTCTACATGAATATTAAACCAATACGAAGTACAACAACATATCTTACCCTATTCTATGCAAATCTGTCATATCTACTCTCAAACAAGACGCCAACTAACTTCAAACGAAAACCCGTTCTACGATGCGTCTACACTCCATCCCCGTATCATATCGTACGCTATATGAAACTTTTTTCAACGCGAAAGAAAACATGCCCCCAATACTTTTTCGCGCTCCGCGCGAAACCATTTTTTTAATGCATGAGCAGGGGTACTGTTAACGCCATGGGGGACGAACCAATGCAAACGAACGGACGTATCGACTGCCTGGCACGCATATCGATCGATACTTTCCGTCTGCATTGAGCCATGCGATATCAATTGATACCATTTCCACTAACACATTGCTTGAACCAATAACATATGTTGATCGAATTTCTCCGAATATACCGAACCAAACGATATCATCAATTGATACCCCCAATTGTACTTATACACGTATCTTGGTAGCAATATCAAGTGAAAGATACTCTCCCGTTGTATTGAACTCATCAATACACATCGATTCCAATTTTTAGAATGTATTGACTGGAGCAATATGCATTAAATATCACAAATATTGTCCAGGGTGTGATTGCTTATTATACCATCACAAGATGCAACTCTACTACTACAACCGCAAACCAAGCCGCCCGCCCGTCGGCTCTTCATCGATGTCCATTTCGTGGGGCAGGATCCGGTAAGGCTGGACGAACTATCACGCCGTTCATTGTAACTATAACTGCGGCCATGCACGTAGATCCAAATGCTCGCCGCGGGCACGGTCATGGTCGTTTGAAAAGGGGCTAATTGTTTTGACGCATGTGTCCGACCGGGCATTATCGGTGACGCATCTTCGCGTACATGTAAATGTCGTTGGTCGAGGTGTCTTGACCAAAATAAGAAAATCTAGGGTAGGGATGGATGCATGCATCTACCTTCAAAATGAAAGTCTAGAAGGCCATGGACGCGTGCAGTCTACAAATTCACTGATCCATTCAAATGAATGTTCGAGAGGCCACCGAAGCTTGCCATCTATTAATGATTGATGCAGGCGAGTGAAGTCTTCTGGTACACCAAGGTACACGGAGATGAGATTCTGCCGTAGAAGGTAGGCTCAGGCGCGGTCTTGAGCCTTCTTAACTACAGCAGCAGGGCTTTTCTAGAGTTACGTCGGAAGTAACTGTGATATCTCTCCTCAATTTCTGGGCTGGGCTTTTAGCTATCTGTGCGCTGTTGGGGTTTATTCCAGATTCATTCGATGGTTTGGGGGTACTGTCTGTGTTGTTTGTGTTAACATCATTGTTTCGTTTCACCTGGGAATGGATGCATGTCCGGCCATCGCCTGTGCACAAGAAGGGCACTGAGCCATTGACAACAACCACCGCGCATACCAGCGGTGTGTAAACCGGGTAGGCCGCAGCTTGTAGATTTGTTGAGAAAGGTAGCTTGGCCAATAAGGGATGAGATGGGAAAGTCTTGTATTTGAGGGGAGACGGAACAGCAGAGAGCACTGGAGTCCGACGAACCGAGGAGTCGCGTCACACACCTATCCGCCACGCAATTCAGATCACTCATCGAATCTCCGAACAAACCAAGTACCAACTGCAACTTTCGTATTGTTGTTATTGTTGTTGTTGTTGTTGTTGTTGTTGTTGTTGTTGTCTTCACATTAAAAAACCGTTCCGATCTCTCTCTACCCAGTACCTTCGTATGTCCGTACTTATCCAACACTCGACGCGGTCGATTCCCGTGGTCGCAGGCTATCTTACCCTTGAAAGGTGCACATAAATAAACTGGCCCCGAGGGGTTCGCAAGTCAACAGAAATCAACGACAGATATTCTGGAGTCCTCCACTCCCTCTCCGCGCTATGCGACGTAACAACTGAGACTAGGAGTCACCATCAAGGGCCGGAGAGAATCAGGTACACCCCCTTGGACCAATCTTGGTTCTAGACAACGCAAGCAGAGACAGGGCGATCTGGCACAAAAAATGAGAAAAAAAGAAAAAAAGAGAAGAAAATAAAAGGAAACAGACGATTTTATTTTATTTATTTTTGCCTTCCGACAATTGCAGATGTACCTCAGAAAACTTTCACTTAATGTCTCATACTCTACATGAATATTAAACCAATACGAAGTACAACAACATATATATGTAGGACTTATTTCTACTGTCATTTACATCGTAAAAGTATCTCCTCTTCAACTTACCAATGACAATCCTGATGGTATCCTATATGCGTTCGTAAGCTTGCTAAAATACTACTGCGTTGATGTCCGCTTGTAAAAGCTGAAATCCAACAAATGCTTTGATCCATGCTACATCTCCGTGTTGGAAAAGCCCTTTCATCTCCGTTCATGATAACATCTTACCCTATTCTACGCAAATCTGTCACATCTACTCTCAAACAAGACGTCAACTTCAAACGAAAACGCGTTCTACGATGCGTCTACACTCCATCCCCATATCATTGGCGTTGACTGGTCCGAGGTCGATCTTGTTCGCCTGTTTTCGGCGTCTTGACGCCCGCGCAATGCGAGCTTGTACCTCTGCACTCGCCGAGATATGGCCACCTGTGTAGCCACCGAAACGACTATTACAGAAAGAGAAAATAGAATGAAAAAGAGCTAGGACAAAAAGGGACCAGGCCGAAAATAACAAGAAATACGAGACAGAAAAAGGCACACGGTGGAGAGACCACTAACGACAAGCAAACACGCAAACATGGTCACCAACCAGCGATACATTGTAATGGTACGTCATCACTAGTGGGGGGTTGGTGCAATGGTGCAGCGTTGGGGGGGGGGGAAATTGGCTCGCAGAAATTCAATCCGGCACGTATTGCGCCACTCGGTCCGTCTCTTCTCGTTTGCTTTCCTCCCTCGCCGTCTCGCCCGCCTCCTGCCCACCTCCCGCCCCATTGGTTGGTGGCTTGTGGTTCCGTTTGAGCGCTTGTTGTCGGCTGGCCCCTTCTTCCTTCTCGTGCCAGGAAGTCATGAACCTCTCAGCTCCCTGCAGCACCGCCGCATGCCAGGGTGTTGGAGTAATTGCAGTTCAAGAACGACTCTATTGTATGTGGTGCAATTGGGCCGCTTTTCTTGGAACTGTGGAATTACCGTGTAACTACGGTTAATAGTGTGGTATGGAACAGGGTTGGAGTAAACTGAGTGCAGCGAAGCGTACTACTTGGAAAGAGAGCAGATGGAAAAGAGCGGGAAATGTTTGAAAGGATACTGCACTATAGGGAGGTTGTGAGGCGGATCGGCATAGACTATTCATCGGGAAATAAGTTTAAGAGATTTCACAGGTCTTTTGAGAGGATTGGATAGAATCTTAGATTCTCGGAATGCAAGTATGGACTGTCAGCAGAGTTGCGTTGAGAGTAGGATTTTGAGAAACTGTGGACATGTGCGTGGACGAAGAGACACCAACAAGTGGTCAGTCTGACCCACCAGGAGTCTTCTCCCTTGTTGTCCCTATACGGTCTGAACTTCTAATAACACGACACTTTGATCGCAGCTCTACTGGACTTAAAACATTACCACGACAAGAACCTTGGCATCAACAAATACGTACGCGGAGGGTAGCGCACCCCGATCCCCCGATACTGGCATCGAAGGAGGGGCTTGTACTGGTCGTCTTGCGCTGTGGTGTGGTGTGGTTGCGATGACCAATACACCGAGGCAAAAAGGTGGGAAAGACAAGGAGGAAGAGGGAGGGAAGAGTGACTCACCGAAGGGTCATGGAATGACTTTGAGGAGGACAACGCGCAATATGACGCGGCGTAGTGTAGAGGGCAGGGAAAAGAGGAAGATGGATGAGAGCACGACTGCTGTGAGCAGAGGGGATGGGGGGAAAGGTACGCTCACAAGCTCCCGAGGGGACGAATGGGGGGTGGAATCGGAGGAGGGTTCGATCGACGTGTCAGGAGAAAGAGACAAGGAAAAACAGAAAGAACGGCAACAAGGAGGAACAAACGATGGGCACAAAGGAGGAAAGGTCGAACAAGGAGAGGGAAGGGGAAAAGGAAGAAACATGGGCAGTGACCCACCCCAGGCGAGTAGGGACGAGGATATCCGTGAGACGGACCGGAGGTTTAGCATAACGGGGGCGGACCCAAAAGATATGATACAGCAGATGTCTGGGTCTAAAAATAATCCGACGATTTCCGCTCCGTCGATTCCTCCGTATACCAATGTAGCTCCGGTGGCAGCTTCAGCCAACAAACAAAGCCAAAGCCAAGGCCAAGGTCACGGAGGGGAAGGTGTCGTCTGTCGTGCAAGTGGTCAAGTATGACGGAGAGAAGTAGGAGGTCTCTGGTGGTTCTGAGGAGGTGAGAAAGGGCAAGGGAACTGAGCCTGTTACTCAGCCTCGTGAGGAGGAAGATTTCATGTCACGAATGCAGTCTTTCATGGCAAGTTTGTCATTTGAAGAAAAACAACGATTTGTTGGGGTGCCCACCAGAGGGGAACGAATTGAGATAAAAAAAGGAGCACGTGCTGCCCCGAGACCTGACGAAAACATGGAGTACCTTTACCATAGAAAGACTTCAGAGCAATTGCAACAAGAACTCGATGATGAGGGGTTGGCCATGGGCATGCAGGAACAGGAGGTGGCAGAAGCGAATGGAAGAACGAGAATAGAAAAAGAAAGGAAACAGAAGGAGGAGAGAAAGAGAAGAAAAGCGGATGTGCGCCTCGAACTTGAACAACAAGACAACAACAGCAGTGGATTTGAGGAGGAAGAGGTAGTATCTCCAACAGAAACCGAAGAGGAAAATAGGGTAGGAGGCTTTGACAAAGAATGGCCACCATTGCCGTCGTCTAATCGGTTCGAGGCTTTGCAGTCGCCCACACAGTCGAGAGTCTTCGACCCTTTGGGTCACGGTCGCGCGTCAAAAACCGAGGAAATCACGGGCGCAAGAACATTTCTCGCATCCGCCCCAGCAGGTCCCTTTGACTGAATACCAAAAGGCGGCACGCACGGCAGCAGAGACACAGGCTCGGTTCTTGGAATCGAGTAACCGGTTGCACCAAGTTGAGGAAGACGCTAGGCTAGCGCGCGCGGCTAGGGAGATATATAACAAGGAGAAAGACAGGATTGCGGCCGAATTCGAAGAAAGGCATGATGTTCTTGCGGAGGAGGGAAAAATAGCGATAGGCCGAGTTCAGTCAGCAGAAAAGGAGGAAAAAGAGGCCAAGGAGAAATTAGATAAAGCCCGAATGGTGTACCAGGTGGCCAAAACGATAGCAGAGAAAATGCGTGAAGACAAGTACAAAGCTCACGACAACAAGACTGATCACCTCAACGCATACACAGCTACAAGGCAGACGATGAACGATACCCGGCAAGGTAGAGAGGCTAGATGTGTTGAAACAGCACAGGCGGTGAGAGACCAAGAGGTAGTAGTAAGAGGCCTCAGGAAAATAAAAGAGGATGCACTTGAGATGAAAAACAAGCTCGGGGCAAAGTCGGGGGAGTCCCCACCTCTCAAGCCACTAGCGCCACCCTCATTAAAACAGAGGGATGAAGCAGCCGACCAAAAAAAGGTTGAGAAAAAGCCGGCTCTGAACAAGAGAGGAAGGAGTACCAAATTCCAAAGAAACCGAGCGTGAAGGAGGCTGAACTGATGAAAAGAGTGGCCGAGATCGTCGCGAGCTCGCCTGGTTTAGACACGCGGTCGGTAACTGCCCAAGTCATGGCAGACATGGGAATCGAACAGGAAGACTCTGAGGAAAATTCTGTCGAAGTAAAGGAAGAAGAGGTGAAGCAGAGACCCACAAGGAGAATTATCGGGGGGCCGGGCACTCTCGAAGTGAAGTCAGAAGATACTAGGACGATCATTTGTGCTAGTTCCCCTGGCTCGGTGTCATCTAGCCAAATCTTTAGTAGCAGCAGGAGCAGGGGTGGCAGAGGGGGTGGAAGGGGAGGAGGTGGAAGAGGAGGAATGGGAAGGGGAACATTCTCTCCCAGGGGCAAGGGAAGGGGGCAAGGACACTTTCAAAGAGGAGGATACAGGGAAAGGAATGAAGGATGGATGGGGCAAGGAGGAATGGATGGTGGAATGGGAGGTGGAATAGGAGGTGGATTTTATTCGATATACTCGTAGCATAGTATGATGGTTGAGATGTTATGTACGTACGTACGAATATTGCAGTGATGAGATGCGGAGGAACAGGAACTTTCTACATATTTTCCTTGGTTGTGAGAGGCTTTTGGTGAGGATTCAGAGAGATTCGTTGTGTGAGAAAGCATGAAGGCGTGACTCGATACCGTGATGGTTTGACGAGCACGAGCACGCCCCCGA